CTCACCCCTGCCAGCATGGTGATTTGTAACTGCTGGTTCAAGCTCTGTCAATGCAGTAAAGCAGATTTTGTGCCAAAGGAAGACACATTCCTAACAAGACAAAGGCCGTGTCCTTGTTGTATGGGTAGTGGCTTAGCTACACCTACCAGCTTCTCTTCCTGGTAGTTTTTTTCTAACTTCACACTATTCCTGAAATAACATCAGCATTCAGTTACTACTAATGGAAAATACTTCATTGTTTTAGGGAAGGGATTTTATGACATTTTTTACTGTAACAGCAGAGCCCTAGATTCACACAGGTCACAGAATGCACCTCTGTTACTGATACTAGCCTTGACCAAAGCACTGTTGGACTCCTCCTGATCCTGGGAGCCTTCCCCACAGAGTCAGGGTGTATCCAAGGCACATAGCTGGGTCACAGAAACGTTTTTTAGGTCTTGCAGTTTAGACATTGGCTCCGTGAAACAGCAGCTCCTTTCTAGTGAGGATCCAACTAGGATACTCCCAGTCATTACTATCTAAACATGTTACTGTGGCCAAAACTGTAAAGTCAAGCAAGATACACTAGACTGTCAGATCACTCAGAAAATGTTTAATACCACTGTTTAATATCTTCATTACTGACACACGCAATGACCAAGTGCACCCTCCCCAAGTTTGCAGCAACACCAAGCTGTGTGGTGTGGTGTCGTTGACATGCCCAGTAGATGAGATGCCATCCAGAGGGACATGGAAAAGCTCAAGAAGTGGGCCCATGGGAACCTCATGAGGTTCAACAAGGCTAAGTGCAAGATGCTGCACCTCGGCTGGGGCGATCCCCAGCAACACTACAGGCTTGGGATGAAGAGATCAAGAGCAGCCCTGCCAAGAAGGACTTGTGGGTGCTGGTGGATGAGAGGCTGAGCATGACTCAAAAAATTTCTTTTTGAAGCCCAGATGGATAATCACATCTTGGGCTGCATCAGAAGAAGAATGGCCAGCAGGTCCATTCTCCCCCTCTACTCTGCTCTTGTGAGACCCCACCTGGAGTGCTGTGTCCAGCTCTGGAGTCCCCAGCAGAACATGGACCTGTTGGAGCACGTCCACAGGAGGGCCACAAAGATAATCAGGATGGAACATCTCTCCTGTGAGAAAAGACTGAGAGAGCTGGGATTGCTCAATCAGGAGGAGACACGGCTCTGGGGAGACCTTACTGCAGCCTTACTGCAGTACTTAGAGGATGCTTATAAAAAAGCAGGACCTGTTGCAGTAGGACAAAAGGTAATGGTTTTAAACTAAAAGAGCGTAGGTTTAGATTGGATACAAGGAACAAACTTTTTACAGTGAGGGTGGTGAAAACATGAACAGGTTGCCACAAGAGGTGGTAGATGTCTCATCCCTGGACACATTCAAGGTCAGGTTGGATGGGGCTCTCAGTAACCTGATCAAGTTGAAGATGTCCCTGCTCACTGCAGGTGGGTTGGACTAGATGACCTGTAAAGGTCCCTTCCAAATCAAACTGTTCTCTGATTCTGTGAAAATGCCTGACAGGTGGGACAGTACAAGACTTCTTCCAGCAGCTTGACCGTTTCTCATCCCTTGGCTATTCTCTAGCCTTCCATTCCCTTCTTGTAATGCCAACCTAAATAAGCAGTAGGCAAGTCCTAAATAGCATGTTGAGGCTAATGAACATGATTCTCAAGCCATAGTAGCATTTACCTCCCATAATTTTATAGTTGTTTATGCAGTTTGGAAATCTATTTTCAAAGTCAACTCTTTACTGCTGCTGACAGATATCCAAGACAAATGCTACAAAGAGGTAAGAGCTACTCACTTACTTCACTTTTTTAATAATGTTTACTCTTGCAAAAGAAATTTTGTTCTTTCCACAGGAGTTCATGCCTAGCAATCACTATTCCATGGGAGTTCATGCCTAGCAATTACTATTCCAAAAACATATCTTACTGGTATAATTCTTTTTTACTTCACAGAAGTTTAAAAATACAAGTAAAGGTCATATGCTAATTTGACATTTCAAAATCATACTCAAACCTGAAGCTTCATAAAAGTAAGTTTGATTATGACACTTGATGTACTCTACATATAGGAGCAGCTTCTTTTTGCAATATGAACTGAGATACTTTTGCAGTAAGACATAATTTTTAAAGGTTTTAAATAGTGGAGAACACCTAGGCAAAGCAACTTCTATCGTTGTCCTGCTAAAATAACAATAGATGTATCAAATAACATACTTTCTGAAAATTCTCAAGCAATCGCAGTTGTAACTTCACCAAGCTGCCACAAAAAGAATTTACAGATGAAAAAACTTCTATTTGATCAATGTTGTTAGTAAAATACAAACTTCACCTAATTTTCCTTGGAATATGTGATACCAAAAGAAAAAAGAAGAAAATCTCTTTTAAAATCGGGGGGGAAACCCTGTAACTTTTAGGAACACTTAAGAAGTACAGAATACCTGGGCTGCTACTTATCATATACACTTTAACATCTCATTACTATCCTGTATTCCCACATCCCTATTCTCCCTTGTTCTTTCATTTCTTACAAACTTTGTAAATTCTTCAGAGCAGGTTTTCTTTTTTATACAAGGCTTGACACAACAGAGAGTATCTTTACACCACCAAAGATAATAATAATATCTATAATATTTTAACATTATCTGTTACAATATTACAGATTTTATTATAGATAACATTATTATTTTATAAAAGAAAACTGAATCATAAATTGTCCTGTCATATTAGCTGGCTTCACTCCTCACTTTTTCAGTATACTGCAGATTCTGACTCAGAGGAATCATTTGACAGACACTGAAAGATCTGATGGCTGGTTAGGAACAGCTGGGGTTTTGGACAGCTGGAAAAGTGTAAGAGGCTACTTAAATTATGAATTAAGCATAATGGGCCCATGATAATGTTTAAAAGATGATCTTGAAACTATCAACTGCTAATATCACCATGAGATTTCCAAGTTGGCAACGGAATTTCTCCTCCTGAGAAAAGGCAATGGTTTCAGGTTGGCTGCAGATGTAAGAACACCACTTCTGTCCTAGTCACAAGGTCTTCTTCATCGCCAGAGCAGTGGAAAAGCAGCAGAGCAGTTGTCCAAGGCACAATTTTGTAACTGTTTACAAATGACAGGACCAGGTATGCCTTAAATTCCAGTCTTCAACTTCTGACTTAAGAGTCAGAGAAGCTCAGAGTCTGGCTGCACAAGCCCTGTACATGCAAACCATGCCTGGGGGGCTGGATGCCCAGCTGCTCAGCTTCTAGTTTAGTGGTGAGCACAAGTGATGCCAGGTTGAGTTGGACTCAGTGATACTCATCCCAGAAAGCCACAATTTGCAAAGGGATTCCACAGAAGGGACAGATTAATAAGATTATCGATTTTTAAACAGCTTGAAAAAGGTCATTCCCTTAAAAGGGTTCTGCTGCATAGCTCCAAGGAGAAAGGGAGTTTCCTGATCTCTAAGACTGTTGAACTCTTTCTTTTATTTCCAATTAAATCTAGATTCATTCACAGCAGCACACATGGAACAGACCATATTGTCATTTCTTGTGCTGTACAAAGGGAAAACAATATACCTGCAACAGTTATGATTTATTCCATGCTTGAGTCTCATATGCTCATTTAGTACTAGATCAGACCTGCTTGGGAGGCCAAGGGAATTCTGTCTGGGAATGCAGAATCTGCAGGTAGGGAAGATCTTGTAACAGTGAAAGCAAATAAATAACTTTCTATCCCTTACAGCTGTAGGTAAGGTTGCTTAGGTACAGAGAGCTTAAAACACAGACTAAAAAAAATCATGCAGCAAGAAATGTTTTCCCTGGTAACTACTTTCAGTGTTACATTATTTACTTATTTCGAGTATATGTTTAACTGCTGGGGGAAGGAGGGGGAAAAAAGCATTTTCCTTGCTTTGCTAACTCCACTGCTCCAATAGGCAAAACATGAAACTGAACAGTAATATAGAAACTGGGTCTGCAAATAACACACAAGTTTTTATTTTCATTTTTATTACAAAATTAACAAAAAAATAAATGTTATCAGATTAAAGTTTTTTTAAAAAAATCTTCACAGGTCATCAGACTAGCAAAAGGAAAATGAAGGTAAAGAAGGTATGCAATGCATTTTGTTCCCCATTTCAAACAGCCAGGACTCAGGAGCTTGCCATCAGGGAAGTCAGCTAGTCCAGCACCTCAGCCTCTAGTGCTGCAAATGAGCCAATGACAGAGGCTTCATTACACTTTCTTTCTTTTTCAGAGCAAATCTAAGCACAGCAAAGGACACACAAAATGTACCATTCTTAAAAAAAAAAAAAAAAAAGAAAAAAAGGGTCATCTTTATGTTAGCTGAAAAATACAGCTCACTGGTATGCCTTTTTAATGTTCTAAGAAGATAAGGAAGGAGAATTTTAAAAATACATATAATCTGCTAAAAGGTCAGAATTCATAAGATGTTGAGACTGATCATTTACAACATGTTCAAAAATTAACACCATATACAGAAAGATATAATTGCCAGCTGTTTTAAAAGTACAATTTTACATAGAATGTTGTCAGTCAAAAATTCACAAGAACCACTCCTTTTATTTCTTCTGAGGTAGACAGACAGATACAAACATGGAGGAGGACACACTGCTTCCATAAGTATTTTAGATAAAAATCCATTCTTTTGCAAAAAAACAGTCTTCTTTAAGAAAGAATGCATAATTCAGAACCGTTTACTTCCACTGACACTCCTTAGAGTTACTGTCATTCTTTAAAAATAACACAAGTGCTACAATATAGTACTTGTGATGTGTTATTAGCTCAGATTTAATAGCTGTAGTAAGAATACTTTAGATATCATTCTTTTCTTGAGGTTTGAAAAAAAAATGGGGATGAACTTACACTCCAACACCAGTATTTAAATATGTTCAGGTCATCAAAATAAGGATCACCTTGTACAAGCAGAGATACCATTAAACAGATATCCTGTCACTTCAGGAATTTTAACTGAAATGCAATTTGTTTTATTTCTGTTACCTTTAAGTGAACCATCAGTAATAAAAACAAGTTCAAGATGCCCTGGGAAGGCACAGAATTTCAGAAGATATAGATGTGTAAGGCCCAGCTCAGTTTTCCTTCTGCAGAAGAGTGAAATAATCAATGTGCTGAAACTTCAGGACCTCGTTTCCCCAGCTGGTCCAGCCAGGCTGGAGGTTGCGAGCAAACAGCTCCAAGCATTCCACATCTGGCTTGATAAACTCTGCCAGAACTGCTGTGCAAGAAAAAAGAAAAAAACAACAGTGACAATGGTACAAATAACAATAGTAAACACATAAAACCTCCCCTGTGATGCTAGTGGATGAAAAAAATGAATGTTTCATTAAAAAAAGAAACGGCAAATTAATTTCAGGGGTTTCATCAAACAGCTGGACTATTTATAGTGAGAAAGTAATTTTAAATAAGTGCCCTTGAGATTCTGAACAATACTGCCAAGGCCTTCAACAGCCTTGATTTATTGGTTTTCATTTAGAGAAAGGGAATGAGGATTTATTTGAGCCTCTACATAGACAAGTTCTGAATTTTTTACTAATATCAACAAAACAACTCCTAAAGATTAACTTAGCTCCTATAAGACAGGGTTAACATTTCTAAAAATAAATAAATGACCCCTTTTCTTAATTAAGATCACACTCTTTTCCTTTGCACCTTAAAGGGGATAAAAGCATTTTTGTGATGACTGTTAAGAGGTAAAATAAGAGACACCAGTTAAATAAGCACAGCACTAAAGGGCTATAAAAATGCAAGCACTACTTTTTCCCCAATACCAACTTGGCAACAGAAGAGATATTTATATAACTCTGTTCTTTTATTCAGTAACATAAATCTCAAATTTCTTTTACAGTTGGGCATTTTTACTGCTTAAATCCAAATAGATAGATGCCTGTCATTAACATTAATGATGTAAATGTCACAGATTATGAATGTATGGTAGTCAACCCACCACAGAATAGTATTCTTGGAGTGATAGAAAAAGATCTTGTAAATGTTTTACTAAATGTTTTACTTGTCATACAGAGTCATTTACTGTGTGGCTGGTTCAAACAAATCCTTAATTAGGTTTCATGAAACAGCTATGAAGTTATTGCATACAAAACTATGCATGAGAAAAGCAAAGGTTTAAGGAGTACAGAACACAGAGAAGGTAGAAAAAAAAAAACTTAAGAACCTTATGTATGCTAAAAATTATATGTTAATGTTTTAAACTAAAATACGATTGATTCAGACTAGATATAAGGAAGAAATTGTTTACAATGACAGTGCTGAAACACTGGAACAGGTTGCCCAGAGGTGGTAAATCTTAAAATGCATAGGTTAAAAACATCATCACAGCACTAAGTTCAGCAATCAAAAGCAGTTTTAACAAGCATCAAAAACTTCCACACGTACAAGGACAAATTTGAAAAGCACACACTGGAGATTCAGCCAACTTCAGAGACTGGTTCACCAAAAAGCAAAAAAAAGGTAGCCAAAAAACTGATCAGTTCAGCAGAAGCAGGAGGTATGTCACAGTATTTCTAATAATTTGGTCATACAATTTAAAAAGGAAGTCCCAGGAATCTCCCCCTCTCTTTCTGCTAGAGAAAGGTATTTTTTAAAGTTAGAGGTTTTTCTTAAAAAAAGAGAGACATATTACATATAATTCAAGATCTCATTATAGTATGATTTTTCATTGCTAGGTTGTAGGCATTTACATAATCACATCAGGCAGTAACTTGCACTGCAATGAAAATTACCATATCAAGAGGGCTCCATTTTGTTGGCTTAAATTCTCATTACACTGGTTTCCTTAAAATAGGAAAAGTCAGTGTTCAAGTTCCAAATTATGGCTTTTTTGTTAGACCTTTCTATCACTGGAAGGCTATCTTAACACACAGGCATCTGACTTGCAGCTCTCAAGCAAGCCCTGGAGTTTTCTTCCTCTGAAAACAGGTTAGAGGAGCTACATCAGCAGAAAGATTAAATATTAAGTTATTCTACCACAGGAATAAATTGAGAAACAAAGTCCACCACAAAATTACTTCTATCCACTTACAAATACCACTGACAAGAAACAGAATAAATAAATGATAAACAGGCTATTCTTTATCACCTACAGGTGTCACAGACACTATGACAGCAACTCAAGCAATTATATTTGGGCATCTAATGCCCTAGGACACGTGATGCTAGCACAAGGCTAGCTGGTAGACATAAAACTGGTCTTCCAGAAAACCCACTTCATTCTGAAGTGCAATCCAGCAGACACCTATCATACCTACTCACTCTTAATCCCAAACACGTATTGAAGATGCATGCTGCTAAAAGTGTTTAAATAAGAAAAAAGAGGAATGATTTCTGAAACAAGCAACAGTTTCCCCTTATCTTTCGGACTTCCATTGCCTAAAAAGCAAGTTCTGCACTGACAAACAGGATACATAAAGTAAAAATGACTGTTGGCTTTTTACTGTCTCATCAGTGAACCACGCAAAGCACAAAGCACACAGCTGAGCTTATTTTAGAATAACCCTTCAAAAGAGTTCGCAGTGTAAAGGTTCTTATTGCCCAGTTTGTCTAAGCCCTGAACAGAGTAAGACCAGAAAAAGATCTGAAACTCAGCACAAAGACGGCTTCATACCTCTGCATCTCTCCTGAGCTTCAAGTTAAACTCAGACACTGATGCACCTATCAATTAGTCTAACAGTAAGGGCTCACAAGGCACATAAGGAAACAAAAGGCATTTATTTCTTTTTAGTTCCAAGAAAACCTTTATAACATGGCCTAACAAGCCAGGCTTGCTACAAGAGCAGGGCGTTTCCATGACTTCCCATTGCATTGTTCTGCTGAGGATATGCAGAGTGGCTAGAACACAGTCAAGAATTACTGCCGGTGTTTTTGGGCATACTCCTACATGACAATACTATGTTCTAACAATATATGTATATACTTAAAAACTGGAGGAGAAACGGCTGTACCAAGCACAATCAATAATACTGGAAAAGGAGAAAAAGCGATGTGAAATTGTGTAGAACTTTGTACATCTGTGTAACAGAATGTCCTTTATGCCTTGTAAGAGCAACATTAAATTGAATTAGGAAGAAAACCTGCTGTTATTTGAATCAAAACCTGGAGTAATAAAATTTGATTTTAACACATTTGCATAAAGCAGTTTAAGTACATTTACAATGACATATTAAAGCTCTAAGCATTGAACACAGCATATGCATCACCAAAAACCCCTACAGTTGCAATTTCATGGTTAAATGCACTGTAGGAGCACAAACATCTCTTTTTGATGGCTTACTTTAATTTACATCTTTCTCTTCCCCCAGGAGAGATAAACTGTTATAATCAGTCATTAAGTGGCTACATATGTATCAACATACAACCTTTATTGTTGTAATAAGAAACAAAGTGCCAGACACCATCAGTAAATACTAATATTTTTGGCTTTGTTACCACTTAAAGCATAAAGAATGCATGTGACTCATCAAGTGGCCCTCTCACCCCTTGCCAAATCTCTGCTTCTGTTCAAATTTCCTCTGAAACCCTCGAGGATGTGGCTTAGCTGCTCTCTACTGGCCAATCGAGAGTATTGTCCGGTTGTAAAAGCAATACCTTGTACAGCACTGACGTCAGAGCATCCGCAATTAGCTTTTGCCTTATGGTCTACCTTTTCATTACATAACTATACCCTGAATGGAGCTGCCAAAAAAATGTAGGATACACGTGGATTTTTATAAAAAACTTCTAAGTCACTGATATTTGCTCCACAGCAAATTCATTTTTTCAGAGAGAAAAATAAACGCTGCACAATATTACCAAATCCCAGCAATCAAGTAAAGACTCAGGAAACATACAACAGTTTCTTTTAAAATCCATTCAGGATCATAATCTATAAAGGAATCCCAAATACAGTTTCTAGAGATTCTGCCCTACAAAATAATTGTTCCAAGGACTGTTCTGGCACTAGAATTTCCTGTAATACACACAGACTGTTGTTTTGCACCCTCAGATACCTCACAAGTTTCCTGTTTGTGTCTGAGCTTGCTGAAGAGGCCCTAGGTGACAGCCTCACAAATCACCAGCCTACTATTCATTACCTTAAATCAACACATATAGTCCCTGCTCTAGTCTTAAATCTTAAAGACATGGCTTCAGAATGGTGAAAAGATCCTCCTAGAATTGGCTTTCTTCTTTTCTGTTTTCAGCTAACAGAAGTATGTCCCACCTACTAGTTTTTGAATAGGTATATATGTGTTAATTTAATAAATACAACATCCCAAACACAAATTTTATAGTGTCCCAGAATATACAACAATTTTCTGGATCAGAATCCTAACTGAAGCTGTTCTATTCCTTGGGAATACAAAAAAGAAAGCATGTCAGTGAAGCAAACTGTGACAACTCTCCTCTTCAACAGCATTACACACTTCTTCTACCTGCCTTTTCTGATGTGACTACATAGCACCACGTGCACCTGGAATATTTGCAGACTCACCATGAGTTTCCCTCCTGTGGGAGGATGAAACCATGTTGGTGAGATGTATTAAATGTACTTCTTACCATAGCCTTGTAAGGTGAAAGAAGTACAACTTCTTATTGACAAAATTAGTCAGAGTGCTCCAGAACAATGTGAGAAAGGTAGCAACATATCACACACAAGTCTTTAAATTCTTTGGACTAAACTCCAAATAGTTGGATTTATACCCACATTAACTGGCTGGCTGCAGTTACTGCAGCAATTTCAGTAAATTAAATACAGCTTCTCAGAAATATGCCTGCCTATTTGTTGCTTATTATTAGCAGTCTTAAAATAATTATGTTTTTGGATTTAAAAGCATAATTTTACTGCAGACAATTCATGCAGAAATAAAAACTTTTCCTTCAAGATGACATAATAAAGGAAGAGTTTTCTGGTTTTATTAACTAAGTAGAAGATATCCTATTTTTTATATTCCCAACGTTTTCTCCCCACAAGGTATTTTAGATCATTTATGATAACTTCATATATGAAGTATCTGTAAACTGCTTGTGCAGTATTTAAAAGACAAATTCTGAAAAGGCGAACTTTTTTTTATATATCTGCCCAAAATACTCACACAATAATGCTGAAGTTCTAGTTTTCATGCTCATTTTTAGAGACCAAGACTTACATGCTTCACAGCACTCTTAGAAATGTTGAGAAACCACAAATTCTGTTGAGCAAAATTGCTTGGCATATGGAAAATTAAGGCACTTCCAGGTACATCCTAGAATGAGATATCCAAGTCCACTGCATTACAGAAATGTTATGCAACAAAACCAAAACGTACCAGTAAGAGGAGGTTTATGTGAATGCAGAGTGCAGGGTATGCTGACAATTAACTTATGCTCCGGAATTGGAAGTACACCTTCAGATTTCCTGTCATATAAAGAACAAGAACAGAAGCATGAGAATGAATGCCACCCAGTGTGGTGCTGCAGCTCTCACAAAGCTACTTCAAATGAGAGGTAACACACAGGATGCTCATTCACAGTCAAACTTTAGGTAAGTCCAAGGGAAGTTAGAAGTTGCTCAGACATAGAAAAGGACAGTTTATGACATCATTAAGGCTTTAGACACAGTTTGGTTAGGAACAGCCACAAAAAGCCATTGAGAACAAATCACATAGTCCTGTATCTCTTCATGAATAGAAAAACAGCAGCATCCCCAAAAGGGCATCAGCCTGTGCCAAGGACTCATGGTCCAAGACATGTCAGCAAAGGAAGCCCTGCCCATGAGAATTTTGTCCAAGCTACTTTCTCAACACAGACAGATGTAAGGAAAAAGCAAATATTTCCATTCTTTAATCTCACTAAGGCGCACCCTTATCCCAAAGCCAGTAAGGCTATCTTGAGGTCCCCAATCAGCCAAAAGATGATGCCACAAGATTTTTGGATATTACTCTGTATTATAAACAAGTGACATATACAAAGGGGATCTTAGCAACCTCAAAAAGACATTTACCATTCTCCTGACATACCTTAAAGCTTCCTTTCCATCTCCTTGAACTCTCCCCAATACAAGAACTTCATAGGGCTTTTTGTGCAAAGAATCCAAAGGCAATACAAATTCTCCAGCCCTAGTAATCTGACACAAAAGAGTTAAAAATACACAGTGGAAGATTTTAACATGCATTTTTCCCCAAGACATTTTCTTTTATAAGAAAAGGGGACAGTGATTATACCAGTGCTTTCAAATACAGAAGCACATAGTAGTAAATTATAAGAATATAAGGTGTCATAGTGGAAGTCCACTCAGTCTCCAAGAAAGCAAAAAACCAAATTAAGAACTTACTTTTACCCAGTGCCACTCAGCAAGCATCTTCACTGACCAATGGGGATAGAGTTCATCCTTAACAAAATGTAAGTGCTTCTGTCTATTAGTTACCCATGTGACTACAAGACAATTTGGAGCAGCTAGTGTTGGTACAGGAATCTGCTTGAATTGCCATGAAGACAAGTGGCTGTACCTATACACCAATACAGTGAGAAAGCAAATTAGCATATATCAAATATAAAAACTGCAAAGCAACACAAATGCATAAAGAAATTACACGGACAGCACATGTCAAGAATTATCTCTTGACAACCGAAGTCATAAAAATAGTTCAAGACTGACACCCAGTGGCCAAAGCTGACAGATTTTATGTAAAATCATTAGTGCATGGACTTAAATTTTACTGAGCAGAAACTTTAAATATTTCCACTATTCCCCTAAATAAAGCATTATGAGTTGTGACTCCGATGAAGCCTAAAAGCCCATATTTCATTTAAGAACTATCATATGTAATTCAATATTCTCACCTTTACAACCAAACAAAGCTATTTACTTAAAAGTAGTTTCTTCGGCAACGTAGTAATATTCGCTTCTCACAATAAGCCCTCTTCTGAATGAAAATGACAAGTGAGTCATTTGCAAGTGCAAGGGCAACACTAATTTGACTGGCAAGTTAAGAGGTCATAAAAGATAATTTCTCCAATTATTTTCAGAAGTCATTCATTTTTTTTAATTACCAGTCATGGCAGAAATTCTCTAGTTTATTCAAAATTGTTCTGCACTTTCCTGAGCTAACTAAATGTTACATCAGTAAATACATCACGCTTTCCAGATTCTGTCCTGTTCCACCATTCTCTCATGATGCTATTCTACGCTATTAGCAAGTTGTAATTCATGGAACCTACACATTGCAGCATCAAAAATATTGGGTCACTGCCCACTGGAAATCAACAGCTAACATGGGGGTACCTAGGACCCTAAACAATGCAACAGTGAGAAACAGTAAACAAACAAAATCAAAAATACCTCCTGGACTAGACTGTCCAGAGAAAAAAAGATTCACCCAGATGTGAAATGATTCAAAACAATTAGCTGTCAACAAGGTAATTAAGAGCAGCAATAGCTCCTGCACCTTTTGCCTCTATTTTGTGAGGGAGAGAGAGGGTCTTACTGGTTAATTTGTGAATAACTGCAATTTTCCTCTGAGTACCATACATTGTCAAGAAAACATTTGAATGAGTTCAACTCAGTTTCTATAGGTTTCTGTAAGGTTTTCAAAGGAAAGCTTCTAATCAGTCTCTGCATCTTCAAACTATATCTCCATTAAAAGCTTCAAAAGCTATAGTAGTCATTAGTCTAGAAAGTTGTAAGGCTCAATTTCCTGTCTGACCTTCTTTCACACAGATATAATTATGGTAATCCATAGGGGCTCCCATTCTATGAAGGTAATCCAAGAGGGCACCACTGGCATAAGTCTGATGTTATGCAGCAATGAAGGAAGCCCATAACAATTTAGTTAATGGCTTCATAAACCACAGTACTTGAGGATTTTACTGCTGCATTATCACTTTCTTCTACCCATTAGACTGAAGCTCAAGCTATGGTTCAAATTAAAAAACAAACACCAAAAAAAAACCCACAACCAAGACAAACACCACCACTAACACTTATGAACAAGATTTCAGTTCTGGAAATACTCCACATTTATCTGGCTTTATGGTCACTGAAGTAACCTTTTATTATTAACCATTAATTACAAATTAATGTCTGCATGCTCTGGGACTTACAGAACAGTTGACACTAGACTTTCCCTGAAATTCTCAAAGACTAACATCCTCTCACCAGCTAGGTAATTTAAGATCTATTCTTGCAAACATTTTTTATGCCAAGTATCCAAGCCCTTTCAGTAAAATCCCCCAGGACATTCCATAGACTTGAAGGTAAGCATATGCCAAAATATTTGCAAGTTTAAATTGCAATCTCACATTATACTGCTCTTGGATTACATCGGTATGTTAAAATATTAATTACCCTTTGTAAGATACAATGACGATGTTTGATTTTACTATAAAATTACCTGTTACTCCTTTTAACAGACTTGTTTTCCCATGGTGGATCAATCACAATTACATCATATTTTTTCTTGTCTGGCAAGTGAAATTGAGGAAAAAAAAAAAAAAAAAGCCAGTCAATTATCTTTTAAAAGTCTATGAGTTAAAACTGATTTACAGCAAAACTGGAAATTTCTTCTGTTCTTTTCAAATAAGAAGTTAAAAGACTTTTGGCGTGCTTTTTAAAATTCAGATAATCATACCCTTCGGAGATTTTTACGATGATTACCTGAGAAAAGGACTTGTATGTGATCTGTGTCAGATCCCTCCAAGATATTTTGAACATCTTGAGGATTTTCAGAAAAAAAAAATTATGGAGTTCAAGTCTCAAAAATGAAAATTTCTCAAAGCTTCCTACCAGAAACTATGTAATAAGGGCACCCAGCTGAGAGAAAAGCTGAAGCCCTGAACACAAGATTTGTACCCTGTTTGATCTTTGAGCAGGCCAACAGGGACGTACAGAGCTTCAAGGAAGCCCTGGAAAACTGTGTTTTGTACTACTGGAGGTAAAGAGAGACAAGATAGCTACATTCAGTGTATGAAATGTAAAAAATGGACAAGAAGAAGAGAACTGAAAAAGAGTTTTCATGGGCGAAACAGAGTTTACTTCAGTTGGAGGAGAGAATATACAGGATACATCCATGAAAAAACAGGACTCTACAATTTTATTTTTTCCAGAGAATATATTTGTCCTTTCATTGAGTCTGATGCTAAGAACAATAGATTAGAATTAGTATTTGATGTTCATTGAACATGCTTACTATATATTTTTCTCTTAGGATTGGATGTATTAACCTTACAGTGGACTGACTAGCAAGAATTCTCTTTTTGCAGGTGAAAGGGATAAGGAAAAATAGTAATTAATAGGGACAGCAGACTTCATAAAAAAAATAAATTAATAACTGGCATTATATTGACATTCACTGTTGCTTATTTCAATAAAGAATTTGCTCCAATTTTTTGGACTGCTCTCTGACCTCCTGAAGAATCCAAACATGCTTTCTTATATGCATAGTTTTGCATAGTGATAGCAGACCAAGAATGATCTTCCCTCTTTCCTACAGTTGCAAACAGCTAACTGGCTAAATTCTGGACTTCTTGGATCATAAGATCCTACCTCCTGCATGTCTTCCTATTAAAAAAATAAATGGGAACAAACAAACAAAAACCCAATACAGAAACAAGGAACATTAAGTTACATATCTTTCCCTCCTTCTTGTATGCAACTAACAAATCCAAAATCACTGATTAGAAGGTAGAGCAGTAATCCCTAGCTCTTGCTCACAGGCAACATCTTTTCTGTAAGACTGTCTGACAAAGCTAAGCTGCTACTGATATTAATAATAATAGTAATAGTAATAAAGTCAATTTGAAAGCTGATGGAATTGTGAAGTACAGTGAAGACTGGTGCATGCTGTCAGCTTAAAGCTTTGATTCACTTTTACAGAGAAGTTATTTACTATAAAATCCCACCATTTCCCTGTCACTGATTTTGGCTTAAGCCAGTACTCTCAGCTGTGAAATGTAGCAGCTGAGACATCAAGCCATGCTTGCTACTCCTAGTCTTGCTAAAGTGGTGCTCCCCTCCAGCTGGGTGCAGCAGCCTCTCCAACTGTTATCTTCCCTGGGGGATACTGGGCTTTGTTCCACAATCAGTTTATGCCCATCTAAAAAAGACCATGCCACCACACAGGATGAGTCTGTAAGGGAACCCTTGTTTTAAGGTGGGCAACCTTATCCCTCTCCCATGGTTTAATTCAGCAGGACCACCATCCTAGCAGCAGCATGGACTTAGCTATGGTTAAAGCCTCATCCTGTGGGATAGGGATCCAGTAGCACAGCTAGTCCCCATCTAATGTGTTTCCATGACTTCTAGGCTGACAGTGGCTCAGAACACGCTCACAAACTGTTGTATTTCGGCTGAGATTTTTAAAGGAGTCTCTTGGAGACAAACAATCCCCCCATGACACAATCTCCTAAGCATTCAAGATTTCCTTTGAAAATGCTCAACTCTTTGCAGAAAGTTAGAAATACCACTTTAAAAGCCTGCAGCAGCAATTCCTCAGTGTGATGCTGTATATTAAAATCTGTTCATTGAGCTCCTATTCATCTCGACATTAACTGCTCTATTCAGGCAAGAGAGAATTCTAACACCTAAAGATACTTACAGTTCAGCAAGGGCTGTAAACACGAAATATCAGATAAAAGGAAGCTGCTTTTTGGTGGCACCAAGTACTTCTGCCCCATTAACACAATTATCTTTGCATGGTTTGAGGTGTTTTCTGTAACACAGGAAAGCAGGTCCTGCTCTGGACTGGAGGTTTCATCCTCTAGCACATATACAGACTGATGGTCACCTTCATTCACATTTGGAAACTGCTTTGCCATTTCACATAATTCAGCCAACCCAGAGACAGCAGGAACATTATTCTTCCTGTAACTGGGTTCTGCGGTCCTTTGGTGAAGAAAACCACTTTTGAGTCCTTCTTGGACTAAATGCCGAGTGCCTTCCCAAATCAGTTTCCTGACCTGTATGGTTATAAAGAAACAAGGGAAAAAAGAAATGATCTTTCAAGTATCTACTTGACCAGGGAATGAAACCGAAATCAAAACACTGATTAATCTGCAGGCAGGGAAAAGGATCTTTGCCAGTTACAGAGAACATTGGCTCAAAAGCTACAAAGGCATGATGCTAACGCCGTGTGCCATGGTCTAACACCAGCTGGCAACCAAGTACCGCTCAGCTGTTCACTCACACCCCACAAACCCCACTCTCTGATGGGTAGGAGAATAGAGTTACAAAAACCCAAAACCTTGTGGGCGAGATAAGATCAGTTTAATCACTGAAACAAAATAAATTAATATGATTATTAAATACAGGGAGAGAGAGAAATATCACCCAAGAGAAACAACTGATGCACAGTAAGACTGCAAAATACTCTTGAGTTGACTTGCAGAGCTAGAACCTTTAGCAACACAAATACAGTAAAAACCCAATACTTCCTAATCTGTGAATGGTATCAAAGGCTAACCAGGATCACAGGTTTTTCCAAATTGTGTCTTTTTACATATTCACCAAAAATCCTTCAGTGTAATTCAGTTGTAAATACACCAGTACATTACTGACATAAGCCTATAGACTTGAATTCCAACTCATTCGTAATGCTTTAGTATGACAATGTTAGATGGAAAAAATCTCTCATTTGCAGAATGAGATATTTTGGAGCACATCTGGTCAAAGAAGCTTTGAATAATTCAGCACAGTGCCCTGATACACTGAAGATGAGCTGATCTTCAGGTTACACTCTATTTCAAATCAGTCACTTCCTGACCAACTAATATTCAACTCCTCACAATATCATGTTTAGTTATCTCTAACAGTAAAAGATACTTTGTCAATGCAGTGTCCAGCTCTTTGAAATATCTCAAATGCAATTTCACATGTCTCTACAAAGAAGATCTTCTCTGTAAGCACTTTTCACTTAAGACTGGAGAGACTGACCTTCCCACCAATGGAACAAGCTACAGGAACAGAACTTGTTTGCAACCATGCCGTGCGCTCTGTACATGCCTACAGACACATATCATGTACTCACAAAATATACTTCTATTACAACTTACCTTTGAATGGTATTCCAAAGCATTCAGTTCACCTTGGTTGAACAAACATTTCCTTTTACGTTTCTGCAGAATGAGCAAGAAATAAAAAAAAAAAAAATTCATATTACTCTGCAAGAAAAAGCAAAAAAAATAATCAAACATACCTGAATTACAAATTAACTCTTTTAAAAGCAGAAGAAACTGTACATCTTTTTTTTTTTTATTTGACAAATACAAGTCAAACAAACAAAAAGATCTAGGCTGCTGTAGATATCGTCAAGGTACATAGATTTAAAGCTGTGTTATATTACTCATGTCACTGGGATCTGAAGATACCTGATGCATGCCACAGTTGGTACTCATGCCTCCTTCAGGCCCACACTAGACGTTTCAGCTGTCAAGTGCAGTTTACCAACAAAAGAAAATTAGCTATGTTTCATTGATTACATGTGTTGTTTTAGACCTGCAACTCTTATTTTCTTTTGTCCATAAGAAACAGTATTGAAGAATACTGAAAGTTAATTCGTATTCTTCTTCTTTCCAGTTTGCTAATATGCACAATCTTGACAGTAACCACAGTTTGAGCCTGACTACCACCAATGTCAGAAGATTTTGTGAGCTTTTGAGCCACAAAATGCACATTACTGACACACGGACACAAGTATATCCTCATAAGTGCTTACACGTTCTGCGCATCCTGAAAATACAAGATGGAAAAGTTTCTGCTCTTCTGCACAACCTCAGAAGACTTGGGTATGCAAAACAATGTTAGTAGTAAATTACTTATCACAGGATTACTGTAGTTTACTGTATGACAGAGAACATACCTTCCTAGCACTGGCAACAGAATCTTCAACACCACTCTTTGTTCCTTCCTGGTGTTCCTCTCTGTTACTGTTGACCTTTATTTCTGTCAGATTCATTTCAGGGCACCCCTGACATAGCTGCTCCTCAGGAGGTGCAACTATATGGGGCTTAGAAATGTCAAAGAACTCCTCTCGAAACACATATCTTATTTTTGCTGGTTTACCTTCTGTTTCTATGGTATCTTCAGGGCTATGAGTAGGACCACTGCTTGATGAGGAGGTGGCAACAAAGGTAGAAGAACCATGACAGTCTTCAGTAGATGTGACAGAAGTATTGACAGTGACACCGCCAGGGCATGCAAAGGAGTTACAGATCTCATAGCCACACTGGTTGATGAAAGAGAGATGATCCACGAGCCATCCCGCTGTCAGACGATGTACCACGGACATCACAAACTTCTCTTTCAGGAGGAAAAATCAACTTCCTGAAACTGTAGCTTTCATCAACCACACACACTTCCCGGAGTAAACTCCTCCTGTGGGAATTTTTAGAAGAAATCACTTTTCAGAACTATCACTGTTTTAATAAAGTTCAGGCAGACATTTCCATGCGTGCACAGTTCACACTGTAGAACCTTCTGACTTCAGTTGTTTTCCCTGTTACGTGCATCCCTATTTTAGCTTCATCCCTGTAATGCTTTATTTTTCTTAATAGTAAGCAAGTTTTATATATGAGTTTTTATACTTTCATGCAGCATGTATTTACTCTAATTCATTCAACAATAGTCTAGTTCATTCAACAAGTTGGAAAATAGCACTGCGGCTCTGTGATCACGTCTATGACTATATAACTAATGCACGTATATATATACAGCATATATGTATACACACATGGATATACGCATATATATGCTATATACACACACACACACTACGTATAAACACATACGCATGCACTATATATATATACATGCACATGCTATGTACACACACACACGTACACATATACACATACCCACACAGACGACTGGGACAGCGCTCGGGAGCAGTGACACAGGCACAGAGGCAGCGGCGGCAACAGCGCTGCTGAGGCCCGGCGCCGATGCCCGTCCCCGGAGGCAAACAAAGGCAGAAAGCTCGGGTTTTTCCCCAGAAGAACTCGCTGCGGCTGGACAAAAACCCCGGAGCTCGCCCAGGTACGGCAGCGCCTCACACCCTCCCCGTGGGCGCCGCCATCTTTCCGTACGGCCATGGCCCTCCCCCTGGGCCCTTCCCGAGATCCTCCCCTCGCCTCCCTTTCCCTCTCATCCCTCCGTGACGCAATTCCTTGTGACGAGCCTCTGCGTGACGTGATGGGCGGGCGGATTTGAATTTGAGCGAGGAGGAGGGAGGTGGCGGTGCTGCTGCAGGAGGTAACGGCTGGGACGGGGCTCTCCGCGGTTTGGGCCTTTCTCTCTGAGGGGGGTAGGGAGGGCGGCAGCAGCAGCAGCAACAACAACAACACCGCCCTCATCATCGCCAGCCCGGGGCCCGTGTCCGTGAGGCGGTGGCGAGTACCGCGCTGGCTGCCCTTGTTTCCCTCGGTACGGTTTAGACGCGCTGTCAGGGCGAGCGGGGGGAGCCGCGCCCGGCTCTGCCGCGCTCCCTCCGCTTTCATTCCCTGCTGGCGTGTTGGCTGCAGCAAACTCTGCTCTTAAATCTCTGCTCAAACTCTGCTCTTCTGGCATCCTGAGTTGTATTAGGAATAGTGTGGCCCGCAGGACTAAATAAGTGGTGGTTCCTCCGTACTCGGCACCGGTGAGGCCGCACCTTGAGTGCTGTGCCCAGTTCTGGGCATTGAGGTGCCGGAGCGGGTCCAGAGAAGGGCAGCGAAGCTGGTGAAGGGTTTGGAGCACAGTTCTGATGAGGAGCGGCTGAGCAATGTGGTGTTGTTTAGGAGAAAAGGCGGCTTGCGGGGGACCTTATCACTCTCTACTGCTGCCTGAAAGGAGATCATAGCCAGGTGGGGTCGTGCTCTTCTCCCAGGCAACCAGCGACAGGAGGAGAGGACAAGGCCTCAAGCTGCGCTGAGGGAGGTTTAGGTTGGACACCAGGAGGAATTTCTTCACAGGAAGGGTGACTAGACACTGGAAAGGGCTGCCCAGAGAGGCAGTGGAGTCACCATCCCTAGAGGTGTTCAAGAAAAGACTGGATGTGGCATTTGGTGCTGTGGTCTAGTTGACAGGATGGCCTAGTTGATAGGCTGGACTTGATGACCTCAAAGGTTTTTTCCAATCTTATTGAGTCTGTGATTTGGGAAACTAGTCACTTGGTTGTGTTTGTGAAAACAATCTGTCAGTGGTGGGTGCCTGTTAATGTGATTGAATAATGCAGCTTCTTCCCAGAGCCAGTGAAATCAAGGATATGCTACTGTATGAACTGGGCCTGAGCTAAACCTCTGCCATGGTTTGTGAGCAGTGGAACTAGAAGCAAAATGAAACACAGTTTATATTGATAATGCGTTTGATAATGTTTTTAATGGAGGTCTTTTTGATTAGTTATAATTCAGTCACCTAAGGCCATCCTGCAAATAAAATAGATCCTCTGTAAAGGGTAAAAGTTGGCAGTTTTTTCCCCAAGTTAATTCTATTTACTTCAAATTCCCACTTAATGTCACTTTGGGGACAGTGGTATTAATATTCCAGTTTGATTTATATTTTGTGTATGTAGTCTGAAGAGAGCCATAATACTATCTCAGAATAGGTTTTCCAGATATTATGCTATGATACTACAAGATCTTTTGCAAAATAAATAAGCAGGCTAAGAATTAGCGGTTCAGGAGTAGATGAAGGGCTGAAGTGCTGGAAACAGTAGTCATGGTAGTGTAGCTCACTGCACTGAAAAATTTCCCAAGCCTTTTTACCTGTGGAACTTGTAGGTTAGAAATGACAGATATAAAGAAAGGCAAAATAGTAGGTTTGGAACAAACACTGACACTTTCATCAGTAAAATAGATTATTTAAAAGATTGTGGCTGCTCCTATGTATTTCTGGAGTCTAACATAATCACTTTTTTTTTTTTCCCCTTAAAGAAAATCCAGTATTTCTGGAAACTCCATCACACTGTTTGATCCAATGTCCAGTTCTACTTGCTTACTCTGATCCTTCAGAAAATCATTGTGGAGTTTAAAAAGACAAAAACTCTTAGATCCTGAATTTTCTCATACTGAGGGATTGTGATTTACAATTCAGTCACAATGAGACGAAGCTCAAAGATCACTAGAAGCAGCGGTCGGCAATCTCTGATGGCACTGAGAGTGCAGGACAACAATAAAATGGGTCTTCAAACACCTCAGATGTAAGTGTTGCTGATCACCTTGCTAAGAATAGCTACATAAAACTAACTCTGATGAGATTTACTGTAGTGTGAATAGTAACTGGGGGAAGAATGGAAAAATGGTGAGAAGAAAGCTCCTCACAGCCAAGGATGTTTGCACAAGTGCTCCAGTTCTGCAAAAAGACTTCCTGTAATCTTTTTGTGTACCTGTGACACATTTCACATGGTAACACGTTTTGATAATGGACAAATAATGTATTAAAATGGGTTGACTTTTCTAAGATGCTGCTGCGATGAGGGTGCTTAGGCTTATACGAGCATGTTTATAGTTCTTGCATGAGTAAAAGGTGAAATGGTAAAAATAGTCACTTGAATCCTTCTCCCTATTCCTCAGGATGGAAAAAGGTATGTTTGGGAAGCTGAGCATGAGCAAACCTACACCTGCAACGTCAGAAAGAAAAATCAGCATTTTTGGGAAGAGGTATTTATAACTTTTATTCTCTGCTCTGTAAATTAATACAACAATGCTCCCACATAATTTTGTCATTTTTTTCTCCTAACAGATTTTTCACTATAGGGAATAATTACCTGAGCCATCAGACCTTCAGGTCTGCCTTACTCCACTCTTTGGTCACTAAGCAATAATTCTGTGGAGTAAGAATAGCTTTGGGAGCTGTTTTTTCTTGGGAATGATATGCACTACAGACCTTATGATCACCTCAATACATTGTCCTGTTCAAGGAAGAATGGCATCTCCAGTACACTGTGCCTTGGTTTCTTCTCTCTAAGATACAAACCTTCTAAAATTCTGTAATCTTTCTGCTTAGTTCACAATTTTCTGTGTTTGGATGTTTTGCAGGTATCTTTCATAGGACCCCACTGTTGCAGGAGTCTATTCCTTTTAAGTATTTCTTTAATATTTTAGTATTTTCAGCCACCTACATCATTTTATCTTCATCTTTGGAGTATGTTTTTGCTCCATAAAAATTTCTTTCTTTCAATAAAATGAAGAAGATATTCATCTAGGATGCAGTAATCCCTTTGTTGTGCATGTGCATTGTGGTTTCCAAGTTGATGATTTTACTCCAATCATCTTAAATACAGAGAACTTCACATATCATTTTGCATAAAAAATGCAAAGGAAACATAAAAATAGCAATTTTAGTGACTCAAACATTAAGAGAGGTGTTTTTTATAATATGTATTGTCACAAGACCTGTATTTACTGTTTGTCCTTAGAGCTAGCACGACTGGAGGCTCACGCAACAGTCAGTATGGTGTGTTTGGTACAGAAAAGATAAAGGATCCCAGGCCACTCCAAGAAAAGGCGTTCATCCAGCAATGTATCAAGCAGCTTTGTGAGGTAACCTGTTAACTTATTCTGAATGTTTAGTCATAGACTATGCTAATAAAAGCACATATTTCCTTGGTTTCAGCTTCAGGTTCTATTTAGTGACTAATACACCATGTTTCTTTTTTGTAGTTCCTGGTTGAGAATGCTTATGCCCATAATGTTTCCATGAAATCACTACAGTCTCCATCGGTTAAGGACTTTCTAAAAATCTTCACTTTTATCTATGGGTTTCTCTGCCCTTCTTATGAACTGCCTGACTCAAAATTTGAAGAGGAGATTCCCAAAATTTTCAAAGAGCTTGGGTAAGATGATTATTTTTCAGTCTGCTGTGCTAAATAGATAAGGTTCTGCTTGACAGCTGGGGAGAATGGGTAGGCTTCTTTATTCAGATGAGACTCTGAAAGTACAACGTTGTGATTATTGTGCTTCACTTTAGCTCTAGGTTTACTCTCTGATTTTTAGACTCTACTATGCATTTTATGTTTGAACTTGCAGAACTATAAGCTCTTGGAAACTTGCCTTGTAATGTAAAATTTAATTGATTATCTTGATTTGTATAAAGCTTTGGAAGACAAACACAGTTTTCTTTTACAGACTCTTCTGTTCATGCTGTTAGAATCCAAGAACTAAAAATTCCAAAATATTGGATCCAATTAGTTTAGTTTAAGATATTTATTTCCTGTAATCTCTCTCATTCTGCTTTCAAAGCAGGGTGTGCAAATAACGAAAATGACTGCTAAGGTGAAAAAAAATGCAAAGTAGCTGAGTGGTTTACTTCTTAATTTGTTCAGTGTTTGGAATCATTAATGCCCCCTAGTGCTTTCCAAGAATGAAAATCCTCTGCCTGTTGATAATGGGGAATTTTCAGTCTTATTAAAAGCCACCAATGAAGTGTATTTTATTTCTGTACATTTGAGTCCATGATGGTGTCAAAGCACCAAAGGACTCCTTAGATGTGGGGGTAAATCTGTTTCATTCCCTTCCTAATTAAATTAATTAAAACAAAATTTTATTAATATTAATCTGTAACATTTGAAACAGCTGACATAGCTTGAAATGTTGAAACAGATTACATTCTGCTGCACCAAGAGTGTAATCCTGGATATAAAGACTTATTCTGAGAACTTAATGTAAATTTTGTTTTTTGATTTCAAGGAGTATCTGGATGACACTCTTAATCATATGGTTTAGTTTTAGGCAGTCTGTGAGGAGCAGAGAGTTGGACTTGATGATCATTATGGGTCCCTTTCAAATCAAGATATTCTGTGAATCATAAAGTGAGAAACCCATGATAACTGAATAAAATAGTGCTGTAAGAACTCAACTTATTTCCTCTGATGTACAGTGTAAACTACAATTGACTTTGTTCTTCCTTATGTGCCTTCATCTACATATAAAAATATGCTGCTTTGTTTGCAAAATGTGCTGGTTTGTTTTCATCACTGTTTGCCACAGCTATTAAAAATGTATTTTCTTTGGCCTTCTAGGTACCCCTTTCCGCTGTCAAAAAGTTCCCTGTACACAGTAGGAGCACCACATACCTGGCCTCAGATAGTGACAGCTTTGGTTTGGTTAATTGATTGTGTCAAGGTAACATTGGTCTTCCTCAAGTGAACTATTTCCACTTTTCAGCTTGGAATGTTAATTTCAGTAGAAATCTCATAAATATTTTTTACGAATCTTATTTGACACTTATGAAAAGAGAAAGGTAAGTATTCTTACCTGTCATCTTGGAGATAACCCTTAGCCTTACTTTTTAGTAACTTTTGAAGTGAGCTTTTCATGTTATATTTTTTAAATGTATGTACAGGACAAATTCATGTATAAAAAAAGGGGGGAGATGCTGGCTTATTTAAATACATAAAATGTGAGCAGTTAATGGTTATCATCACTGAAGATTCATGTTACCTTCAGTGCATATCTTGTGACATCTGCCATCCTCTCCTAAATTTGAAGTCTAATTTTGAATTTTCAATTGTAATTATTCAAATGTCTTGTGATTGTTATACAGAGTGGAGAGTATTGTGCTTGGGCGGGGGCTAGTTTAGTTGGGGGGGGGTTGTTTGTTTGGGTTTTGTGTGTGTTTATGGGGTTTTTTTGTTTGGTTGGTTTTGTGTGGGGTTTTTGTGATTTTTTTTTTGGTTTGGTTTGGGTTTGTGGGTTTTGTTTGGTTTTGTTTGGTTTGATTTTTTTGTTGTTGTTTTGGTTTTGGTTTTGGTTTTTTTTTTTGTTTTGGTTTTGGTTTGTTGTTTTTTTTTTTTTTAATAGTGGTAACTGTTCTTGCTGCCAGCTCAGGTCTGAGTAAAATTTAGAATCTGTGACAGAAGTTCACCACTGCTGAATTGGGCACATGTGAAAATCCCATTCTTTATGCTGAAAAGACACATTTGGCTTAGCAAGACAACTTGGCAGCGTTGAATGTCCAGTTCCTGCCTCTTCACCTGTGCGTTTAGTCAACTAAACACAGGCTGATGACAACCTGCTTTGCTGAAATTCTAATCCAGTGTTACTCTGCTTCTTGTAATGAATATGAAAACTAATGGATATCTCCACTCTTTGTATGTGCACCTGTGCCTTTCAGCTGTACACTGCCATGAGGGAAAATGCACCGTCATTTGAGGAGGGACAGAGCTGGGGAGGAGAGACAGATGATGGAATTGTACATAATAAGGTATAGTAAAAATTAAATTATAATCGGAATTGTTCAGATGAATTTTGCCATATGCTGTAACAACACAATTTAAATGTGACACAACAATTTAAACTGTATTTATAGATTCTGTTCCATTTTATATTACAGAGTTCTCTAGGAAGTATTGTAGCCTTACATGAAAGGCCTGATGTACTAGTTTCCCAAGCAGGCATTATGGCCAGTCTGTTGGTGAAGACTGAGTATTAAACTGAGATGCCTTATTCTCCAAGTAGCTACTCTTCCCTTTTTCCTCTGTGGAGAAAGGGAACTATTATGCTGTTTGTTTATTGTTTTAGTAAGGTTTCTGGTACACTTTTGCTTTAGCACTCAAGTCTCTTGAGATAACCAGCAGTACAGTATAAAGATAGTGACTTAATTATAAATGTAGTGGCTTCTGCCAGTATCTACTCAGTTTAGTATATTAAATTTGGTTGTAAAGTTTAATTTCTGAGCAACAAAATAGGGTGGTAATGTAATTCAGGTACTTAAAAATGCAACAGCTTGCTTTCTTTCTAATTTATCATAGATTATTAGAACTACTCAGACTTAACTCAATGTTAACTCACAGCAGGTGTTTGGAAGAGGTTGCATAATGTGCTAAAACATTTAATTAGAAAATTGCAAAAATCAAGTTAAATCATAATTTTGGACTAAGGTTACAAACCTGACAGTTGACAAGTAAAAATGCTTTTAAACTAAATGTGCACTTCTACAAGCGATATATATAGATATATGTTGATACAAAATTTACATTACTGATGTAACTGCTTCTGAAAGATCGGTAATTTAACGTCTCAAGGGAATTCTTTTTGTGTAACCTTTCTTTATTTCCAAATCAGCTCTCTGACATCTGCACGTTTGAATTTCAATGGTCGTATTTACTGAAGAGGTCTGTTAAACAGACCTACAGTTTCCATAAATTAACCTGAGAGATTCATATGCTTTAAGATAAAACAATTTTAAATATTGTATCTACTATCCTTGTTAAATATCTTAGAAAAATATAGCAAGTGTTTCCAGACCTTTCTTAACGTGCATTATAGATGCCTCCTCCTGCCTGAATATAATCTGTTGGCATTCTGTATTTAAAGGGAGGCAAAAAATTGAATTTTATAGAAGAACAATCGAAACAGTGAAATATCTTTTTTTATCTATTTAATTCCATTGACTGAGTGGATCTAGACAAACTAGATATCTTACAGCCCTTTGAATTGTTGAGATGAAAGTTTTTAAATTTTTTTCAGCTTTTCATGGACTATGCTGTGAAGTGCTATGAGCTTTTCATGAAAGGGAGAGATACTTTTGAAGAATTGGATGCAGAAGTGCAGTCAAAATTAAGTGAGTTTTCAAGTTTTACTTATTTAATCGTCTTACTGGTTTCTTTTCTCCTAGCATCAGTTTGCTCTGTTTACAAGTGAAAATGATCTAAGGGAACTTGAAATTCCCAAGTAGTGCTCAATTACCTCAACTTAATTCTCTCTTTTTTTTTTTTTTAATATATATTGCTGCTGATACAGAGGGGTTGGTCATGATCTGTTGTCAGCTATGCCTGTGTGTCACCCTGTTGTTTTTAATGGCTTTGTGACAGGAAACCCGTATACAGTTCTTCAGGTGCAAATTCTATGCAGATGACTCTTGTTTCTGTCTGTCAAAGGTTAACATTAAAAAAAAAAATAAAAGAAAAATATTTTTGGAGGATGCAATCTGATAAGTAAGAAAGCTCAGCTTTTGAAAGCTCTGAAAAGAGTCTGCAAGGGTTCCAAACTCTGTTTTTAAGGTTCCTGTAAGTGATTCAGCATGCACTTGTTTGTCTTCAGGGAGGTAGGAAATTGACTCATTCATTTCACCATCTACAGAAAAACAAACAGAATTTGAGAACCAGGAAGAAAAACATTTCTTATTTTCTGTGCCCTCCTATGAAAAGTCAGACTAAGGACACTTTGGTTGCAAGCTGGAGACATCAGTTGGAGAGGAAAGAAGCTACCAGGCTGTTGGACATTAGCAGGAAAAAATAATCATGACATTGTTTACCAAAGACTAAGGGGCAAGTAAGGGAAAAGATGTCTCAAGAGACAAGGAAGTATGTAGATGAGAAAGGAGTATACAAGTCAGACTACCTTGAGAAGCTGGAACAGATAAAGCTTATTTAACAACCACTGTCCTTTTAGTGTGGGTTACATGAGAGTTTGGAAACTCTTACTTCATGGAAGAAACTTTGAGCTCTTTTGTGACACAAGGACTGAGAAACTCATTTGTCTTTGTTTGGGGATTTTTGTTAATTTGCTTTGTAATGAAAGGGTTTTTTTAGTGGGTTTGTTGGTTGGGTGTATTGGGGGGTTTTTTTAGTGTAAAATGCCCAGATAATGGGAATTTACTCTGCCAAAGTTAAAGTTCAGATTAGGTGGTGATAATTCAGTAAGATTAATTTATAACTCTACTCCCTTTTCTCCTCCCCCCCCAGAGGATTTATTTAATATAGATGAATTCCAGATAGAAAGTTTAGCAGCTGACAACAAAAGACTTCAGGAAGAGATTGCAAGACTAGAAAAAGAAAAGGAAAGTGAGCCGGTTAGTAAATTGTTTCTATCTGTTTATACGCTGGAGTTGAATTTTACATTATTGACCGTTATTATCATTATTAAATGAAGATACTTATGATACATAACAACAAATGGAAAGTTATTTTCAGTGCTTTGAGATTTTAATTAAGCCAGGTTATTACAGACTGTATATCATTATAGTACAAGGCATTTTCTGTGGAGTCTTCAGTCACTATTTGTTTGATAATGTGCAGATATTTCCAGGTAAAAAGGTCTTGTATTGACTGAAATATTAATAAGGTACTTGAACCACTTTTTTTTTTCCTGAACATCAATATTATCTTTTCCAATTGTGCTATTATGAGGCATGGGATTCAGTGGTAACAATACATTTTAGGTAAAACATTTTGCTTGAAAATATGGATTCTGCTTTTAGTACATCATGAGTTTAAAAATAGGTTAGTGGCTGTGCAGCTGGCAAGTAGAGACTCCTGCCAACTGTGCAAAATGTGCTGTTTGTATTTCCAGCTTTCCTTACCCTAGTTTTACCTAGTTTTTTTTGTATTATTCTACTTAAGCCGTGAATTACCCGTAGTAAGAACTTCCTCAATACAGTGCCTGATGCAAATCAGAGACTCAAAGATGAAACGCAGGAATCTTTTCAGCCTTCTTTGTTGTTATTTTAAAGATGCCTAACTTGACACAGCTGTCACACAGATAAAAATTTATTAAAGTTCTTTAATTTTATATTTATGCTATTGTTTTAACCAGTTACTCTATTGTCTTGCCTGGAANTTTTAATAGTGGTAACTGTTCTTGCTGCCAGCTCAGGTCTGAGTAAAATTTAGAATCTGTGACAGAAGTTCACCACTGCTGAATTGGGCACATGTGAAAATCCCATTCTTTATGCTGAAAAGACACATTTGGCTTAGCAAGACAACTTGGCAGTGTTGAATGTCCAGTTCCTGCCTCTTCACCTGTGCGTTTAGTCAACTAAACACAGGCTGATTACAACCTGCTTTGCTGAAATTCTAATCCAGTGTTACTCTGCTTCTTGTAATGAATATGAAAACTAATGGATATCTCCACTCTTTGTATGTGCACCTGTGCCTTTCAGCTGTACACTGCCATGAGGGAAAATGCACCGTCGTTTGAGGAGGGACAGAGCTGGGGAGGAGAGACAGATGATGGAATTGTACATAATAAGGTATAGTAAAAATTAAATTATAATCGGAATTGTTCAGATGAATTTTGCCATATGCTGTAACAACACAGTTTAAATGTGACACAACAACTTAAACTGTATTTATAGATTCTGTTCCATTTTATATTTACAGAGTTCTCTAGGAAGTATTGTAGCCTTACATGAAAGGCCTGATGAACTAGTTTCCCAAGCAGGCATTATGGCCAGTCTGTTGGTGAAGACTGAGTATTAAACTGAGATGCCTTATTCTCCAAATAGCTACTCTTCCCTTTCTCCTGCTGTTTGTTTATTGTTTTAGTAAGGTTTCTGGTACACTTTTGCTTTAGCACTCGAGTCTCTTGAGATAACCAGCAGTACAGCGTAGAGATAGTGACTTAATTATAAATGTAGTGGCTTCTGCCAATATCTACTCAGTTTACTATATTAAATTTGGTTGTAAAGTTTAATTTCTGAGCAACAAAATAGGGTGGTAATGTAATTCAGGTACTTAAAAATGCAACAGCTTGCTTTCTTTCTAATTTATCATAGATTATTAGAACTACTCAGACTTAACTCAATGTTAACTCACAGCAGGTGTTTGGAAGAGGTTGCATAATGTGCTAAAACATTTAATTAGAAAATTGCAAAAATCAAGTTAAATCATAATTTTGGACTAAGGTTACAAACCTAACAGTTGACGAGTAAAAATGCTTTTAAACTAAATGTGCACTTCTACAAGAGATATATATAGATATGTGTTGATACAAAATTTACACTACTGATGTAACTGCTTCTAAAAGATCGGTAATTTAACATCTCAAGGGAATTCTTTTTGTGTAACCTTTCTTTATTTCCAAATCAGCTCTCTGACATCTGCACATTTGAATTTCAATGGTCATATTTACTGAAGAGGTCTGTTAAACAGACCTACAGTTTCCATAAATTAACCTGAGAGATTCATATGCTTTAAGATAAAACAATTTTAAATATTGTATCTACTATCCTTGTTAAATATCTTAGAAAAATATAGCAAGTGTTTCCAGACCTTTCTTAACGTGCATTATAGATGCCTCCTCCTGCCTGAATATAATCTGTTGGCATTCTGTATTTAAAGGGAGGCAAAAAATTGAATTTTATAGAAGAACAATCGAAACAGTGAAATATCTTTTTTTATCTATTTAATTCCATTGACTGAGTGGATCTAGACAATCTAGATATCTTACAGCCCTTTGAATTGTTGAGATGAAAGTTTTTAAATTTTTTTCAGCTTTTCATGGACTATGCTGTGAAGTGCTATGAGCTTTTCATGAAAGGGAGAGATACTTTTGAAGAATTGGATGCAGAAGTGCAGTCAAAATTAAGTGAGTTTTCAAGTTTTACTTATTTAATCGTCTTACTGGTTTCTTTTCTCCTAGCATCAGTTTGCTCTGTTTACAAGTGAAAGTGATCTAAGGGAATTTGAAATTCCCAAGTAGTGCTCAATTACCTCAACTTTTTTTTTTTTTTTTAATATATATTGCTGCTGATACAGAGGGGTTGGTCATGATCTGTTGTCAGCTGTACCTGTGTCACCCTGTTGTTTTTAATGGCTTTGTGACACGAAACCGGTATACAGTTCTTCAGGTGCAAATTCTATGCAGATGACTCTTGTTTCTGTCTGTCAAAGGTTAACATTAAAAAAAAAAAAAAAGAAAAATATTTTTGGAGGATGCAATCTGATAAGTAAGAAAGCTCAGCTTTTGAAAGCTCTGAAAAGAGTCTGCAAGCGTTCCAAACTCTGTTTTTAGGGTTCCTGTAAGTGATTCAGCATGCACTTGTTTGCCTTCAGGGAGGTAGGATATTGACTCATTCATTTCACCATCTACAGAAAAACAAACAGAATTTGAGAACCAGGAAGAAAAACATTTCTTATTTTCTGTGCCCTCCTATGAAAAGTCAGACTAAGGACACTTTGGTTGCAAGCTGGAGACATCAGTTGGAGAGGAAAGAAGCTACCAGGCTGTTGGACATTAGCAGGAAAAAATAATCATGACATTGTTTACCAAAGACTAAGGGGCAAGTAAGGGAAAAGATGTCTCAAGAGACAAGGAAGTATGTAGATGAGAAAGGAGTATACAAGTCAGACTACCTTGAGAAGCTGGAACAGATAAAGCTTATTTAACAACCACTGTCCTTTTAGTGTGGGTTATATGAGAGTTTGGAAACTCTTACTTCATGGACGAAACTTTGAGCTCTTTTGTGACACAAGGGCTGAGAAACTCATTTGTCTTTGTTTGGGGATTTTTGTTAATTTGCTTTGTAATGAAAGGGTTTTTTTAGTGGGTTTGTTGGTTGGGTGTATTGGGGGTTTTTTTTAGTGTAAAATGCCCAGATAATGGGAATTTACTCTGCCGAAGTTAAAGTTCAGATTAGGTGGTGATAATTCAGTAAGATTAATTTATAACTCTACTCCCTTTTCTCCTCCCCCCCCAGAGGATTTATTTAATATAGATGAATTCCAGATAGAAAGTTTAGCAGCTGACAACAAAAGACTTCAGGAAGAGATTGCAAGACTAGAAAAAGAAAAGGAAAGTGAGCCGGTTAGTAAATTGTTTCTATCTGTTTATACGCTGGAGTTGAATTTTACATTATTGACCGTTATTGTCATTATTAAATGAAGATACTTATGATACATAACAACAAATGGAAAGTTATTTTCAGTGCTTTGAGATTTTAATTAAGCCAGGTTATTACAGATTGTATATCATTATAATACAAGGCATTTTCTGTGGAGTCTTCAGTCACTATTTGTTTGATAATGTGCAGATATTTCCAGGTAAAAAGGTCTTGTATTGACTGAAATATTAATAAGGTACTTGAACCACTTTTTTTTTTCCTGAACATCAATATTATCTTTTCCAATTGTGCTGTAATAAGGCATGGGATTCAGTGGTAACAATACATTTTAGGTAAAACGTTTTGCTTGAAAATATGGATTCTGCTTTTAGTACATCATGAGTTTAAAAATAGGTTAGTGGCTGTGCAGCTGGCAAGTGGAGACTCCTGCCAACTGTGCAAAATGTGCTGTTTGTATTTCCAGCTTTCCTTACCCTAGTTTTACCTAGGTTTTTTTGTATTATTCTACTTAAGCCGTGAATTACCCGTAGTAAGAACTTCCTCAATACAGTGCCTGATGCAAATCAGAGACTCAAAGATGAAACGCAGGAATCTTTTCAGCCTTCTTTGTTGTTATTTTAAAGATGCCTAACTTGACACAGCTGTCACACAGATAAAAATTTATTAAAGTTCTTTAATTTTATATTTA